TAAAATCCTCCAGAATTATGAATTTGAAAGAAAACTTGAAGCAAAGTCTTCTTTCTATGAAGGATTTGGCCCGACAAAGACAAGATTCTTGGCAATAAAGGTCCATTCGTACAGAAGATGCCAAGAATTATGGGCTTTCACAAGAAGAAAAGTTATATTTGAGAAGCGTACTACATTACGGGTTCAATATGGGCTAAGGCTAAAGGCTTGTAAAGTCCTACATCTATTAGATTGAGTGTGAAGCAGTCTCCTTCCAATGAGCAAGAGAAAGAATTCATGCAAAAAGTTCCTTATGCATCTGCAGTAGGAAGTTTGATGTATGCTATGGTTTGTACTAGACTAGATATAGCTCATGCAGTTGGTACAGTTAGTAGATTTCTTTCTAATCTAGCTAAGGAGTATTGGAATGCAGTTAAATGGATATTGAGATATCTCCGTGGTACTTTAGGTTTGAAGTTGTGTTTTGGGTTTGAAAAGCTTATGCTTTGTGGTTACACTGATTTTGATATGGCTGGGGATATTGATTCTAGAAAGTTTACTTCTGGGTACTTGACTACATTTGCAGGGGAAGCTGTGGCATGGCAATCCAGGTTGTAGAAATGTATTGCTTTATCTACTGTAGAGGCTGAGTTCATTGCAGCTACTGAAGCATGCAAGGAGTTGCTATGGATGAAAAAGTTTGTGAATGAGCTTGGCTTTACTCAGGAAAGGTATGTTTTATTTTGCGTATGTTTTATTTTGCTTTGCGATAGCCAGAGTGCTATTCATCTTGGTAAGAAATCCACCACTTTCATGGTAGATCTAAACATGATGATGTGAGATATCATTGATCCGTGATGTTTTTGGATTCTAAGTCCCAATTGAGCCTTGAGAATGATTGCATACGGATGATAATGGGTGCCTGATATGTTGCACAAAGTCTCTATCCACAGAAATGAAGTTTGAAATCATGGCCCGTTTTTGACGTGGCCGGTTTGGGGCACCTCTTCCACATAGTCGGGAAGGGGAAGAATTTGGTTGGGTTTTGGGTTTCCTTCCTATGTGGTAAAAGGCCCATTTTTGAAAGTCCACTAACTTAATTATTGTTTTGTACAATTATGCCCCCTCAACTAACAGCCATAAGTTCCTAATATTTTTTGGCTGCTCATTGATCGACACAGCAACGAAAAAAAAAAAACAGAAAAGAAGAGGAGAGGAGAGGGATTTTTTTTTCTGCACAGCCCCATCCAGCACCAGCCATCGTGTTCTAGTTATTCCCAGAGTTCCAACCGTTGGATCTTTGTGATATTTGGGTATGTTGTTCTTTACTCTCTGTTCTTGATTCTCACCGAAAGGATTTTGATTTGGAGTTTCAGAGATTGAGTTATGGCTCTGAATCCGAAGTTGTCTTGTTTTGCTTCCAATTCTGCATAGCTTCATCTTCTTCAGCGTTTCGGTAGTCACCTTTTGTCGGATTGAGCTGATTTTTGGTGAGCATGTTCCTAACATCCAATTCTTGATTCTGGCCGATCAGTTTAATTTTTGGATGAGTAGAACATTGAGTAGAACATTTTTAAATGTATTTTTTAAATGTATTGAGGAACAGCAAGCTGTGTTTTGTGATCACTCCTATTGTGTTCCACACATATTGTGGTTGTTTGTGGTATAATGCTACATATTTTGATTGGTTGTAGCTTGCTTGTTATAGTTGTAGAGACATATCTTGTGAATAGTGACGTGTTATTTCCTTGGACCGGAGGAGAGTCCGTGGTTTTTATGCCTTCACACCGGAGGAGTTTTCCACGTAAAAAAGATTTGTGTTCATGTGGTGAATCGGGTTATTTTTTGATTGTTAGATTGGGACAGCCTTGTTGTTGCTTAATTTGTTGCTCATTGTTATTCCTAATAGATTCATTCAAGTGGAGAAGTTTTTGTTTGAGGTCAGATTTTTGTGTTACACTTTCCCATCATTTAGTCAAATAATGATAATTTGAGGTTTTATGATATCCATTCCAATGGTCAACAGAAACCTTATCTTTGTTTGTCCGTGAGAACATTACAAGTTTTGTGGAGAAACTTCAAATGAAATTGCTTGAATTTGTTGCTCATTGTTACTCCTAATAGATTCATTCAAGTGGAGAAGTTTTTGTTGTGAGGTCAGATTTTGTGTTACTTCCCATCAGGTTTATATGTCAAATATATGATAATTTAGAGGTTTATGATATCCATCCATGGTCACAGAAACTTATCTTTGTTTGTCGTGAGACATTACAAGTTTGTGGAGAAACAATTCATATATGAAAGATTAAGAGAAATTATTATTTTAACGTTCAAATAAATTAATAGACTAGTTGATATTATAAAAATTTATATCTTTTATTAAGATCATCTTTAAGCGAAAAAATCTAGTATTATATATTTTTTTAATTTTATTTTATTATATAAAATAATTTATTAAATTCTTTCGATTTGTTAAAACGCCGATGAGCTCTATTAGATGGTTTATGATTACTCCACAGAGGAGCCTGAGAGCTCTTATTGCTTCACTTAGACAGTTGCTAGTGCTGCAATGGAATTGTCATATTGGCTATGTATACAGAAAAGCAAATCATTCGGCAGATCACCTTACTCAGTTGGCAACCCAGTTTCCTTTGGGAATTCGCGAGCTTAACGAACCTCCTCCTTCTCTTGTTCCTTGGTTGTTACATTATGCAAGTGGGGTAGCCTACCCTAGAGTTTATTTTAATTAGTTCTTTTTTAGCTATTCCTCCCCTTCTGTCCCTTAAAAAAAAGTTCCATGACTAATTTATATAAATATTTATAATATTTGATATTATTATTAATAGATTATATTTTTCCAAAAAAAAAAAAGGTCAATGTAAATGGGATTAATACTTAAGATATGAACTCAAGAACCCTTAAAGGGTAAGATGAAATGATATTGATCCCTTATTCTTTAATCAGATGTTTTAAGTTCGAGTCCTGGGTACGAAGTTCTTTTATGCATGAAGTTTTTTTATGCATTTTACCATGAATTATTGGTGTCATATGGACATGATGACTCAATGTCTTCTAAAGGTATATTTAATACATAAATTTATCTCTTAATTTTACAATTTTAACAATGTGTGATATTGCACACTTTTTTACGCTAAAAATAATACTCACATTTTTATTTCAAAAGTTAAAGAACAACTTATAGCAACGCCATTGAACTTGTCCATTGATGAAGCAAACAGAAGACTTACAGCAAAGAGAAGAAGTGATTTAATAGAAATCTTATTAAATGGAATAGAAGAAGAGAAAGTTTTGAAGCTGCTTTGTTTAACTTTGTCAATGCTTGATGAGAACAAAGTACTTGTCAGGTTTTTGAATGCATGGAATCCAGATGTAAAAATGTTGCTATAAATACACTTAGCTTACCTTTGAACCAAACCAAATGTTCAAGGCTATTAAAACCGGTAAAAAACATAGGCATGAACGATGAATCCCTCTTAATCATATTACTCTTTACCTCACATCCTGACAGTAGAAATGAAATTGGAAAGGTTATCTTTCTTAAGGACTCTTGTTGACATTATTCGAAATGGGACTGCAAAGAACAAGGCATGCTCTATGTCCATTCTCCTTGAGTTGGGGCTCAATGATTGATCTTTCATTTTGGCTGCACTTCAATTTGGTGTTCATGAGCATTTGGTAGATATTACAAGATGTGGAAATAACTGAGCTCGCAAAATTCTTTTTTTGTAGCACATGAGTAAGTATGAACTTATCCATGAGATGTGGCTCAAGAGATAAGACACAGTTGAGTTTAATGAATGATTTCTATAAGTCATGAGGTTGGGGCGGTGAAAAATCACTCGTCAGAATGTGAGTACTGTATAAATCTCAAAACGAGAATAATCTCATGCTTATCACCCAAAAGAGTATAGAGATATTTGCGGCAAAAAAAAAAAAAATGAAAAACCATAAACTTGCTACAAACCGCTTTAGAGGGTGAATTAGAATATTTTTTGTCATTGAATACTGATTTTGAGATTTATTTTACCTATTGTTTATTCAAAATATATAATTTATTTTACAAATGATCAGATTTCATTTCGTCATGTTGAATTTTATAAAATTTAGTGAAACAAATATTTTCAATTACACTAAGCATTAAAATATAGAAAATTTACATAAATTTATAAAATTCTATAATATCAGGTGTCTAGATAAAAAGAAATGTTTTTCAATGAAATACGAACTCAAACATCATTCAGCACCTCTGTGAATAATGTATATAATTTCCTTGTTTTGAGTTCAAATTGTTTATATGTTCATCAACAAATAAGAGTGATAAATAGATTCATTTTGGGTACACATGATTATGACGATTGAACGCTTTGATAGCATTATCTGTCTCTATCTTCTGTCCATATTCATCAATAATGGAAGCTATTTCTTGTATTGAGTACTAAAATTTTTAACTTATGTAAACCAACCATATAGTATGTGAAAGATTAAAGAGTCTCGAGTTTAAATCTTCTTTGACAAAATATACTAGAACTATTGGTGGATTAGTATTAGAGAAAGACATTAATGAAAATTTTTTTTATGATCATATACATATTTCTAAAGAGTACTTAATGAAAGTATAAAAATAATTAGATTTTGAAAAGCTTAATGTTGGGGCTGATATGCATATTTTTTTAAAGAAATACATATGAAAAACATAAATCTTTTGAACCCTCCCTCAAGCATACATGTATAGTAACGCCCACCATCACCACCACTACCACATCCACCTCCACCTCCAATGTTGGATGCATAGTTGGTTTGCTTTGTTTATTTATTTATTATTTTTTTGACAATAAAACTTACTGACATAGCTTTTTGACTTGAAGCAAGAGTTATGCAACTAGCCTTTCTCTAAGAACATTATGTATGAAAGCACATACATTCTCATTTACTGTAATCAAATGCAAGATATTTTAAATAAATTAATTAATGGGCAAGTGAAAAAATCAACAATAATGAAGTAATATAAAATGATTCACCAGTCTTAATACATAAACAACTGTAATTTATGAACAATCAAAAGCTGAGTGTTTTTAACAAACTTTTCACTATATATGTAACACGAAAACACCCACACATATGTTTATATATGCAATTTATGCTTCCCAATTTTGGAGCATCAATAACAATATTTCATACAAGAGTTCATACACTAACACTAACAATAGAATACAAGTAATCCTACAAGTAATCACATACAACTTTTTGCAACCAAATCAAAATAAAGAAAAAAGAAAGACCCCATTATGTATCTTCTCCTTCAAAGACCCAATCTCAAATCTAGGGTAAAGCTTGAAGAATAAGAAGAGGATGATTCTTCTTCAACTGGGGCAGGCAAATTTAGGTCTAACCCAAAACCTTCTTTGCCTTGATTATTCATTGATAAAGAAGCTGTGTCTTCTAATTTCTCCCAATGGCATCTCTTGTGTCCGCCTAATGCTTGCCCGCTAGAAAAAACCCTTAAACAGATACTGCATTTGTGACCTAAAACCATTAATGCTTTATTGTTTATACTGTTATCCTCCAAATTATTGTCACTTATCTCCTTCACATCGCCACTATTTTCCTCATCAACCATCTCACAACCATCACTACTTCTAGTAATTGCAAAACAGCCCTTCACATTCTTGTGACTAGCCCTATGGCCTCCTAATGCTTGGTGGGAACCAAATACTTTCTTGCAACTAGAACACTCAAAACGACAATTAACCATGTCATTTTGAACTTGAGAATGACTACAACCTGCAGAAGCAGTTTCTAGTATTGTTCCACTTTCACTATTAGCCAATAATAACAAACAAGCAGCCACTTCATGATCCTCTGCAGTCATTATAGCTTCATTAGCGTTCCCCAATTGTTCAATTTGCAAATTGGGCCTTTGATACTTAGGTGGTGGATTAATACCACGCCATTGTCGTTCAGGATGACACCTCATGTGGCCAAATAGTGCTTTCCATGACCAAAACCTCTTTCCACACTCCGTACATGGCTCTGTGATTTTAGGAGCAGATGGGTCAGGTTTCTTGCTGTAACTTTTTGGCTTAATAACAGTAGAAGGAATCAAATGGGACTCTATGTGTAATGATTTGGTGCGTTTTTTACGCAGTTTCTTGTAATGGGTTGTGATAGGAATTGAAGAAGAAGATGGAAAATAGAAATCTGGGTCGGATTCTGTGTTCTTGATAGTCATTTTTTCGTCTAAGTAAAGAAAATAGAAAAAAAAGTGGTAAATTGGAGGAGAGGTTTGCATTTGTAGGTGCAGTTTGGACGGTTTTTGAGGCAATGCGAGACAGTGTGAGAAAGAATAGGAGAGTGTTTCGATTTGAACTGAAACGGTTTTTTGGGAATAGGGTTTGTGGTTATCTGTATGGAGTTGAATTTACTTAAATGTCCTTGCATAGGTAAGTTTCTAGTTCGTATTTGTAGGCACTGAATTGTAAATGCACATGTTCCGTAGCCACCACCAACCACTTCTAAACACCGACTACACCACCACCCTGCACGACGCTTTCTCTCATCCTTCGTCTCCCTGACACTCTCCCCCTTTTGCATAGAATTTGTCTTACACCTCTTTTATAAAAAAAGTCCTGAAAATTTCTTTTTAATTTCCCTTCAAATTCAAAATAATATAAGAAAAAGAGAAAAATAAATAAATAGGAGAAACCAAAATTTCCAAATTTGAATTAATTGCGAAGCTTATCCTCCAAATAGGAGAAAATTGCTTGTTTAATCCTTTCGATAAAAGAGGTACTCCCAAGTAACAGCCATGATTAAGAGTAGTAGAGACCTGTAGAATATCAGAAATGTTCTTTTGCAATAACGGATCAATATTATTACTAAGAAAATTCTCGAACCTGCCTCGAAGCTAGTTCATAGGAATAAAAGATATTTTTACCAACCTGTGCTTCATTCTTAGAGGATCAGAAGTAAAAATAGATGTAATCTGCAAACAATAAATGAGAAATCCAAGGGGCATGGCTATTAAGCTGACACCCATGATAGCACTTTGAGACTCAACCCTTCGAAAAAGAGCAGAGAGGCCTTCGCAAATAAAAAGAGTTGAACCTTTCTTTCCAGAATGCCTTTTCATGTTCAAGAACATGGTTTAGTTCCTTCTTGACTGTATATATCCCTGCGATAATCAGAGCCATCCCAGTCTGATCCCTCACAAACCCGATATTTCCTACTAATGTTTTCGGATTTTTGTGTGAAAATAATTCCTGATATCCACACCCCATTTGAAAGTCTGTCAAACAGGTGCTTGTATTTTATTAATGATATTACTGAGTTGCAAGATTCCCATCCTAACGGACAACTTTAGGAAGATCCAAATCCAAATTTTAAGTATTCTCAAACCGAAAATGAGCTACGTATTTATGGTAGGGAAGCTAACCGTTCAAAGAAATATGGGTGGATGGTCCGAGATTGATGCTACTAGGTTGAGCAAAATACTTTCTGGAAATCGATTCAACCATAATGAGATTATTATTATTAAGATCATATTTAATATAGGTGCCAATGGAATGTCCCAGCTGCTTCGCCATTGTCTTCACTATAGACTCTGTCGGCATGTCATGCATCTGGACCTGGAATTCAACTGAAATTCTAGAAGCTAAATAGGATCAACGCCTTTATCCACCTTCTGCAGAATGAGCAAGTGGTTGTTGAATGTCCAAGAGCCACTGCGCAACACTCTATTCACATCAACTGAATGAAAGAACGGAAAAGGAAATAGTTTCTATAATTTCAGTAATGAAATTATATTATGATAATTAATTTCACCCAATATTTCAAAATATGACATACAAATTTTCATTACTCTAATTTATAATCAAGTCAGGTGAATATAACATGATGTATTGATTAGCTATAATACAAAATTTACAATTTTCATTAAAAAACTTGTTTTCATGAAATTTTTGTATAAGAAAATGATGCAAAATATTAGCTAAAGAGTGGAACGATAAGAGAAATGAATATGATTAAAGAAAATTTTTAAGGAAGACTCGACTGTAAATGGGGTTGATCATGAACCATATATAATGGTGATGAACTATATACAATGCTAGGAATGATAGCGGCCCAGTTTCTAGCCCAAGTTAACCTATATGCCTTGCCATTTATTCTAATATTATATTCTAAAACTGTCACCACAAAGCAAGCTCTGTAACTAAATTCTATATCTAAGAAATTTGTTCTGCATTTTGAGGTTATTATAAGTAAACATGGTAAATAGCGGCTGCATATTCTAATAGACCATAAACCAAAATTCTTTAATATATTAGGTTACTGTAATACATATAATTCTACTGCAGCATTTAAATTGGAAATGGAACATCTTGTTTTTCCTACATAAAAATATGTCTATTTCATTACAAAAAGGCTGTTTTTCCATTCGGATTTATTTCTTCATTAGCATGTGTAAAAAAAAAAAAAAGGGTAAAAAAGATGGTAATTTCTGCACATTCATCCTTTTCATTTTCACACCGAAAAGGATTTCACTACAAGTTCTACACCTACAAAACATCTCAACTTGGGGGTACATGCATTTTGTCCCCTCTTAAATGTACAAGTAAAAACTAAATGCTTTTAATTCTGTAAAGGGGTATAGAACAAACTTAGTTGAAGCTTGATGATCTACTCCACCTTGATTTAACATATTCCTCCATAGAGAACTTATTCCCTTGCTCAAAACTACTAAATGATGTCAAATCATCATCAACATCAAGCAATGCAAGATTCAAATGTAATTCTGCACTTGAATTAGGATACACTTCATCATCATTTTCATCATCCTCTATATCTTTGTTTTGAAGGTTCGCCCACTTCACTGCCCTTTTATCCCCTCTTAGGAGCTTCAATACCTAAGGAAAAAGAAAAGGAAAACTTTAATGAACTTTAACCTTTGACGGATTAAATAATCCAGGCAAGGAAAACCATACTTAAGAGTATCAGAAATTACTTGAAAGTCTGAAATGTAGTACCTCAATCATTTTAGGACGAAGCCTAGCTGATCGTGTAATGCAGAGCTTTGCTGCAAGAACCATTCTTTGCATTTGAGCCTCATCAAAATTTGCATCTAAATTTGGATCCAGTATGCCTCTTGTATTTCCATGCTCTATCATTGGTTTTGCCTGAATTAGCAAAACTTAGTGTTAGTAATGTCACAATTAGCATATTTGTAGACATTCTAATCATATTATAACAAATATCCAGTGTAAAACGTTTACTTTTAATTTCATTACTTAAAAATAAAGATTAAAAACAAGTATTTATTTGATAGTGTTGTTAAATGCTACTAAAATTTTTAGTTTTACAATTTTCATGTATCAGATGGTACTTTCTGCTAATTCCTTTCTGCATAAAAATTTTTATCTTTTAGTAGCAAGTAGAACATGCTGCGTAAAATCCTAGTCATTTGAATTTTAGTTGTGAAGAAGATTCTTACCCACATGACCAAGCTCTCTTGGTCCTTAGGAGTCTCATAGCCAATTGGTTTTCTTCCTGATAACAGTTCAAGTAAAACTACACCAAAAGCATAAACATCCAACTTGTCACTAACTTTCCCATACATGAAATATTCAGGGGCGAGATATCCAAATGTTCCAACCACGTCGCTTTGAGTCATAAAAGATGATGCTGTTGGTCCCGGTATAGCCAGTCCAAAATCAGATAACTATATTACACACACACACACACACACACACACACAAAAAAAAAAAATGTCATAAATTTGTAACAAGGGGCCGAAGAAATATCCAATTCCAACCACGATCGCTTGAGTCATAAAAGATGAATGCTGGTGTGGTCCCCGGTAATAGCCAGGCCAAAAATCAGATAACTTATATTACACAACACACACAACACACACACACACAAAAAAAAAAAATGTCATATAATCTAAACAAATCATATACACACACACACACACACAAAAAAAAAAATGTCATAAATTTGTAACAAATCATAAGAGAGAATGTGAAGAATATATTTAGTCTGGTGGAAGTACCAGTGGTTCAAACCCATCAGAGAGCAGAATGTTTGAAGATTTGACATCTCTATGTATAACAGGTGGAGAACGTTCATTGTGTAGGTAAGTTAAGGCTTCTGCGATTTTAATGGCAATATTGAACCTCACTTCCCATGTCAATGCAGATTTTTTTTCTTTGTCTTCACCTAAAAATTTTATATGAATTTCACATCAGCACTTTTTGTGTCAATTTTCACTATATGGAGAAAAAATATATTGAAGCCAGCTTTACCGTGTAAATTTTCCTCCAAGCTTCCTTTTGAGAAGAAATCATAAATAGAAATGAGATTAGTATCTTTGATGCAAACCCCTACAAGACGTGTAATATACTTGTGATTCAATGAGGAGATAATATCAAATTCTTGAGCAAAGTCCTTTCTTGCTTCTGGAGATGAGTTTCGAATCTTTACTGCAACTGGCTTGCCATCAGGAAGAATTGCCTTGTAAACCCGGTTACATCCTCCATTTCCAATTAAGTTTTCTGCAAATACTCGATATTCAAAAACATAATTTTAAAATGAACAATTGGGCAATTAGCACTTATATTGTTAATAGATGCATAGTGAAAAACCTGAGCTAAATTTTGAAGTTGCAGATTTAAGAACCTCATAATTGAACCACTTGAAACTGGAAGAGTTTGTTTTTAGCAAAATGTCCAAGGCATTTTGCAGATCTCCTGATCCATGAAAACTAATCCTATTGCTTTCGTCTATTAGAACTTCATCATTTCTCTCCTTTCCTGATGCACTTTCTAAAGGATTTTTATGCGGCCAACGATTTGGTAAGTTCATTGCCCATTGCACTACAGACAATTCCCTTGCCTGCAAAGTCTCTTGAGTAACTGAAGTAGCTCGTCGAAGAAGTGGCCAACCGGGCCTTTGATCCAAAATATCTCCTGTAAAAGCAGAACTTGATCTTTTTCTTAGTTCAGGCACAAGATTTGGAACTTCATCTCTTGATTCTCCACTATCACAACTTGTTAGTACTTCAATACTAGATATTTCTGTATCTACATCAGAATCTCCATACTCGGATCGAACTTCATCAGGTAAAGGACTTTCAAGTAGATTTAGACTTGGTTTTGGATCTCCAAAAGGGCCTGACATAATACTTTGTTATTACTATTATGCTTTATATGAACTCAACTAAATGGACTTTGCTCTGAGTACTCAAATACTAAAATAACAAGTACCAAACCTGGTAGTTGATTATTGTTGCACCTTCCAAACATAATTTTCCCATTATGGATAGCAAAAACGTTGGTGGTTGGAGGTAGTCGTTTAGCACAATATGTAGCAGTAGAAGTCCTTGCCCTGCAAATTATATCTGCTTAGACTAATCAGAAAACAAACAGAGAAAGGCAAGTGCAAAAATCTTACACATACCCTAATGTAGTTTGGGTGCTGATCCCCAGAACCACGGCTACAGCATTATGGTTCTTTGCCTCTTTAACCAAAGTCCTCTGGATTGAAATTCCCGAGCAGACCTCACCTATAAGATCAACCTGAAAACCAAGCACAAGAAATTGGGTGTTGAAGGCCCTGATGGGTAAAAATTAATAAATCTATAAAATTTTATGGATTGTATTTCAAATCTCAATATTTCTGGTATAAATGAAAACATTCATTTAACTTATAAAAATTAAATAGTAAAATTCAATAGAATTAAACTCATTTCTGTCATCTGAATTCTATACTTTCAAATTAATTAGAGCAAACAGGAGGTATTGGAATTGCAAAAAATAAATAATCACTAACCTTCGTTAGGGAACATAAACCTTTATATACTTCTAAATAACTATCCAACCGGGGCTTGTCTTTTGAGGCTCCTCCTGCATATCAGCGATAAAAAATTACAATTCAAAAATATAAGAGAATATAATTAAGAATCCATATCAAAAAATGAAAAGAAAAGAAAAGGAAAGACAAGGAATCATTACTCGAACTTCGACAAACATGAACAGCAATAACACAATCTCCAGGTTCTGCAACCTTAACAAGAGCCCAATTTAGTAGTTCTCTACTTCGGCTATTAATTTTTATCCCAACTAACACATTCCTTCTTTCAAAAACTTGATTATCCTCCTCGGCTGGCATTTTCTTTTCCCTTAAATTATTATTTTATGCCTTGATTGATAAATTCAATCCAAAGCATCTATGTATTCTATTTTTCCTTGAATTTGCATAAATTCTGCAAATTTATTCCCCTCCCCTCCACTGCTTGTCATAATCATTTGAATCCCTGCAATGAAAGGGTTAACATGATTACACTGATTAAGCTATCACTAATTAAGATTATAAATGCTACCCATTAACAGATTCCCATTGAACAGTCCAAAACTCAATAAATTCAAACAATATGTCAAAGGAATTCTCACCCAAATGAGAAAAACGATTAAAAATAAATACCCAGAAGAGTTTGAGGAAATATATTAAAAAATGATAGTGAATGATGCAGGAGATAGAACAAGACAAACAATAAAGATAGTACCTAAATTTTGTAACCATTTGCCATTCAAACCCAGAAAAAAATTTAAAATGAAATTGCCGCCAAGTATCATCACCTCACCTAATGCAACTGATTTCTAGACCATAAAAAAAATATTAAAAGCTAAAAGAGATGAAGGAATTATTAATTATGAATAAATTAAAGGCATTAGTGGTTTTGGTGATGATGACGATTGCTTAAACTAATCGGTTTATTTGAAAAGGAATAAAATTGGAAACTAAAAGGGAATAAAGAATTCAAACAGATGTTCTTTGAAGAAGAAAGTGTCGGCGAGAAAGATAATTCCTTGAAAAGGTGGTCAAATTTTTCTTTTTCCCTTTTTTTTTCACAAAGCCAAGAGCGGAGAAGGAGGGGTTTTTTTGTTTCTTAACAAATTAATTTTCTTTTTTTTAAACAAAATAGTTTCCGTTAAGTTTGTTCAGAGGAGCAGAAAATTTCGCGGGAAATCCCTGCTATCAAGCGCTAATAAAGTCTAATCCACCGGATATTTCCGCAGGAAGAGCAACTGGATTGTTCTTATATTTGAGTAAACAGACGTAGAAGGAAGTTATTTTTTTTAAAAAAAAACTTAATTAATTAATTAACTTTTTGGAAATTATAGGAAGTAATGTTGTTTATTTCTATAGAGATATTTAAAGTAGGGCCGATGGATCGAAATACCCGATTTGAATAACATTTTTACAGCGATGTGAGATCTTCCACTTTATAAGAAATGAGAAAAAAAAAAAAAATTTAATTGGTGAACTAAATACATTTAAATGAGGTGTGTTTAATTAATTATGATTAGTGTATGGAAATTCTCATTTAATCCTTTTTTATACTATTTTTTATAAAGTTTAATAAAAGTAAATTATTTAGGCCTTAAATAGAGAATTCATTTGAAAAGGAATTTTTTTTGTTTGTTTGTGTAATTAACCTTAATATCAATTCCTTAAAAAAAGCTATAAGAACAAAAGTTATTATGTAAAAACTTTTGATTAATAATGAAGAAAGTATATTATTGTACATGCTTTTATTTTAAAATTTATTTTACTAGTAATTAATTTAAAATAAACTCAAAATATAAAAAGTAATTAACTTCAACAAATGTGAGTCAATACATATCAGTTGATCTATAAAAGAAATCAACCGTACTGATTATCTTCTGTACTTAAAAATATAAAAATCTATAATCTTGATATTAAATGGACGCATTTAAGATCAATCAAGTATTGTTTAATTAATATTTTTATCTAAATGACAAGTAAAATTTCTCGAGTTGAAAATTTTTGGATTATAAGAGTAAAAGGAAGATTTACCTTATCCGTGAATAAAAAAGATCTTCAATAAAAAAGTGCTTAATTGTGATAATCAACTTTTGGAAGTGCTGGTATAACTTACGTGGACCATTGGCCATTTCTTATCTAAATTTTGATTGAAAGGAGATTAAAGATTTCAAACATATCCTAATCTAGATAATGAGACGGCTGCTAATTTTACCAAATCATTTGATTAGTGGTTGAACAGAAAACCATCTTCTCATTCCCATCATTACTTTTATAGTATAGATTTTTTTTTTCTTATTGAAATGAACTAATTATAATTGGTTTCAACCATTTTCGATTATCTCTGATTCTAAAAATAGAAATTAAGACTGGTATCTCCTTTTCAATTATGATTTTATCTAAGTACGGGATCGAATTTATGTACTCATATCATATTTTAACAAAGACACTTTCTGCAAATATGATGATGGAAAAGTATTCTATCTTACTTTTGAGTGTGTATATATTGGAGACGTGGCATATCAAGGTTATGTTTTTAGATGAAGAAAAAGATAATAATATTAAAATTAGGGGCAATAGAGCATACACATTTTTCATAATTAAATTGAATGTGAATGTTTTCCTCCTTTTTCTTATCATATCAATATACTATTTAGAGTGACTGCATATGCATCTTTTTGCAGCCGAAAGCGATAAAGTTAGGCCATATGAGCAAAATTTTGGATAATTGATGAGACTTATTATGAATGATTTTTTTTTTTTTTTAACCAAATAGAAATTCATTGAAAAAGTGGAAATAAATTTCTACAACCAGTATCTCTTCCTGATCCATAAAACTTGGCATGAGATATTAGTACAAAAGGATAGATCCAAACCTTTCCTAGCTAGATTATTGGCATCACTATTAGAATGCCTTCTAATAAACTAAAAAGAAACTAAAGAAAACTGAGTAGCTAGATAGGAAACATCATGTATTAAGCCTTGAATATAAACCAAAGGAGAAGACGCCTTTGAAGCTGCATCCATGACTATTTTTGAGTCTCCCTCAAAACTAGCATTGTGAAAATGATGTTGTAAAGCCATTTCCACAACTTATTTAAGAGTCATTGCTTACAAAATAATGGGATTATTTTGAAAAGGGATTTGCTTCACTGACTATGTTATAACCCTGTTCAAATGAGAATGTGCTATAATGGCAATGCAACCATAATTCATCTTGTTATTCATAGCTGCATCAAAATTGACCTTCACAATATTTGGAGGTGGAGGAGTCCAGGGACCTATAGATTCTTCAAGGGATGAAGATGGTTGATCATTTGGATAATTCAAAAGCCTGCAAGCATCTTTGAACTCTTGACTGTGAAAAAAAGCTTTCTCTAAGAATTTTTTCCAGTTCCAATCTTGATCGTGAAAATGAGGGCATTCCTTACCTTCCAAATCTGCCATAAAATAAAAACAGCAAGAGCTACCATATCATGATTTTCAGAATTGGAAAGGTTTTGATAAATAATTTGCCAGCATTCCTTGAAATCCATTCCATTGAAATTCGCGGATCGTAATTACAGGGAGGAATGGATCCAAATAGCAGCAGCCTTGTGGCACAAAAAAAAAACAGATGCAATGAGGTTGCTACATCAGAGCACAACTTACAAAGATTCGTTTTTGTAGGGAACCTTTTGGCTAAGAGATCCCCCACAGGAATGCTATTGTGTAAACTCTCCATAAAAAGATGCGAATTTTATTTGGAACATTCAAAGACCATACATTGTTCCATAATTGTTGCTGACCTGCTCCATTGCTTGAATTCGTTTGATGCTGAGAAGAACATAACTCTTTTTGCTTGCAAGCTGTATGATAGCCTGAATGAATTGAGTACTCTCCATTTTTGGTATAGTGCCACACTAAGGTGTCTTGAGCTGTAGTGATGCTAATAGGAAGAGATAAGATTACTTTGGCATCTGCATCAACAAAATTAGTTCGCACAAGATTAGAGTTCCAAGTACCAGTGATGGAATCAATAAGTTGCGAAACCCAATATATTCTGCTGTGATCATCATTAGGAAGGCGTGGCTTGAAGGGAAATTTTGTTGGTACCCAAGGATCATCATAATAATAGATTTTCCATTTCTGATTTCCCATCAAAGACCTTGCTTAAGCAATTCTTTTCCTTTTAAAATACTCTGCCATCCCCAAGATTGATTACGCCTATGGCCTGCTTCAAGAAAAGATGAAAAAGGAAAATATTTTCCTTTTAAAACTCGAGAGAGCAACGATTCTGGAAATTTAAGGATTCTCCAACATTGCTTCCCAAAGAGAGCCAAATTAAGACATTCTAAATCTTGAAAGCCCAAACCTCCCTCTGTGAATGATTCAGCACAGGCCGTGCTCTGCAACACGCTCAGAGGAGTACTTGTGGCACGGGTGTGCGCCATAGCACGGGCCGGGCGTGCTAGGCTCTGACTTTCCATTGCTCCCAAAGAGGGCCAATTATGACATCAATCTTTGAGCCCAACCTCACCTCTGTGAATGATTCATCACAGGCCGTGCTCTGCAACACGCTCAGAGGAGTAACTTGGTGGACGGGTGGTGCGCCATAACCAATTTGTGGCAACGGGCCGGGCGTGCTAAGGCTCTGACTTTCTAAGATAAATTGCATCACGGGCCGTGCAGGCAAGCACGCCTTGAGGTCCTTTTAGGCACGGGCGTGGCCCAGATAGTACGGGCTTAGCCATGATAGAGGTCTGAGTCTCTAACTTGATTTCCCTTAAAGTTTAGCAGGCGTGCTAAGGTGTACGGGTTGGGGCGTGCTAGAGCCTGAGTGTTTGCCTTTATAAGGCTCCTTTTTTTATGCAAAATTCAATTTTCTTAAGATCAAGTGGATTATGATTCAAGGAAGTTTTGAACAAAACTATAATTAAAACGAAAGTAAAAATTAATTATAAGTGATAAAATTTACTAAAATTCTAATAAAAACTATATTAAGAAATACTGTAAAAAATGGACACCTATCAAAAATTCTTTTCAAAAACTTAAACCATTGCTTGTCCCTCAAAGCAACAAAAACTAAAATCCCAAAAAAAGAACAAAAATAAACTGCCAAAACTAACTTACTATTGTTGGAGATAATTATTCACTAGTTTCCAAAAGATATCAAAATTATTAATATGGCCGAATAATCAAGTGTTTCCATACTAATTTATATTTTAAGCGAGAATTAAATTTTTGAATAAAGCACAATTCCTTGATTTAAACATAAATTAAAAAAGATTTTTAAACACCAAAATTTATTCAAACCTAT